TTTTTTGTTTTAGTATTTTGAAGTTGACCAATTGTTACTATAAGCAATTAATGATTATAGATGATCTGCACCGTATTCTGAAAGAATCCTCAAAGTTTTCAAAGATAATAATTGGATGCTTACTAATAATTTGGAAGTGTTGTCTTCAAATGTGATTTCTAGTTTTATCACAATACTTTCATAATAATAAAAATATTTTGTAGTCCTCCATATACAAATTGTAATAATAATAATAATAATAATAGTGCAATCAATTTTCTGTTTTAAGAAATTAATTTAATTATTAAACGCAATTCTGATTATTATTTATAATAGGTGAAAATGAAGATTCAATGCGACTCATGTATAAGTTGACATTAAAAGTCCATTTATTTTATTTTCAAATAAAAATCTCAAGGTTTCGTAAACTTGTGTTTATTTGAACTTCTTCTTGTAGTAAGTAGGTCATAAGTTGCCCAAATTTTATTTGTACATAATAATAAATATTAATAACAAGCTTATAACTGAGAACGCAATGTGAGCCTTTTGCTTTTTGTGTTACAAAACACACATACCATTCTACACAAGAATAAAAATTCAATTAAGTTGGGTTTTACGTCTTCTTCATCACAAAGAGCAAAAAAATGACATCACTCGGGCCAAGGCAATAGTCTATTTTATTAAATTTGAAACATAAATAGGACTGCCGTCCAAACTTTTTTTTTGTTATTTTTTCATAGAGAAATTCCTCTCAGGCCATTTCAGCGCACAGAACTCAACCTTCTACATTCAGCCACATGAAATAATTGTTCATTATTGTTCTTGTAACACAAAATTTTAACCCATGCAATTGTTGATTGATTGACCAATTAAAATCATGAATTTAAAAATAAAACATTTAATGTGGGCATATGACATGAAGTCATTTTCAGTTGACTCTGTTTATACCGAACCCTCTGTCCTGAGAATTTTTGTTCATTATTATTATTATTATTATAGTAATAGCCAGTGTTCGTTACCCAGCTAGATGTGTCACGTGATGGTAACATATATAATTTAATTAGCCGTTTATTATATATATTGATCAGAAAGCTTATAAGAATTATTTTATCAATATGAAATTATAAAACATTTAGAAAACACATTCAAACAAACCCTGTCTACGATATAAGATTCAGAAAGAGGGAGTTGTAAGATGTGTTGATAAAGATTATTATAAGATGGCATACATTTAATTTCATAATTTAATAACTAGTTGAATGAGGTTTGTCAACAATCACTTCATGAACAATTGTTTCATTAACAAATGGCTCAAATTTAAGAAGTTGGAAGCAACCATTTGAAATAGTCTAATAAATTAAATCATACTACTTGAAAATGTATTTAAAGGGTTGGTTTTTGACTTGGTTGAAGAATAACTCTCTTCCTAACTCTTCTCTTGACCATATCTTTCGATATAATCAAAATAACCTTAATATAATGAATGTCAATGAAATGATTGTAAACGTGACCACTTTATGATATACGATCAAGAGAACATGAACGATGTATGAAAAAAATCAAACAGTTGTTTCATTAACAAATGGTTCGAATTTAAGAAGTTGGAAGCAATCATTTGAAATAGTCCAATAAATTAAACTGTACTACTTGAAAATGTATTTAAAAGGTTGGTTTTCGACTTGGTTGAAGAATAACTCTCTTCCTAACTCTTCTCTTGACCATATCTCTCGATATAATCAAAATAACCTTAATATAACAAATTTCAAAATGATTGTAAACATGACCAATTTAAGATATACGATCAAGAGGAAACATGAACAATGTATGAAAAAATCAAACAAATTTATTTAATAAACAAAATTTACAACTCAAAAAATTTTTTTTGCATGTAATAAAATTCCATTATTAATTATTAACAATCTAATTATATAGATCTTGACCAATCAAACCTGCCTATATAGTTATTGAATAATTGATAATAATAAAACATTAATTAAATATATTTTACAAACAGCTTCATAGATCTCGACTTAGGACTTACTTTGATCAAACCCACTTATAATAATAAACATCCATTTTGGAAACTTGATTTGCAAATAGATCTTGACTTTAACACTTACTTCTACCAAGCCTGCCTATATAATTATTTGAATAATTGATAAAGCAAAATCTAGTGGACTTACCCGAGGGTTGAAAATACCAACAACAACGATGATAAGAAATTCTCAAGCAAAGCATTAAAATCCAAACATCTGGATTTTGAGGAGTTCCAACAGCAAGAGAAAGACCACAAATCACATCAGGGAGTCAGATAAAAAAGAATAAGTGCAGACCATGACCCACAGGAATAATCAAGCACATCAAGGGCAACAAAACTGACACATACAATGAACGAAGTTGTCAGCAACAATAAAGGTTATATGGATGCAGTAAAAAATTTGTACAATATTGAAATGATGATGATAATAATGAGAATGAAACAGTGGTAAATGACAATGGTGATGAGAGTTATGACACTGAATAATTTTTGTTATTTCTTTGTATTTTTTTTTTTTTTTGCAATAAAAATTATGTAGATCAAAATTTTTTTCAGAAAGAAAAATTTTTCTGAAATTACCACCCAGCGAAAGCAAAAAATTCCTTCCCAAAAAATTAGGTTTAAAAAACAAAGATTTTTCGATTTCAATTGCAATTGCAACACATTGCTTTGCAATTCAATTCAACACAACTCAATTTCAATGCAATTGCAATTGCAACCTGTTTTATAAAACAAACCATTTGCTGTATGACACAATTTTTGCTAAATATGGTGAAAACATTGATTGCACCAAAAACTGAAAAAACCAGGCATGGCTAGACGCAAAAGGAGACAATCAGCAAGAAAACTGCACAGAAGTTGCACAACTTGTGAGTTTTGGAAGGAGATCATGACATGGCAAATGTTAAATCTTTTTTTTTGTGTTAAAGAGAAAATGATGTATTGTAAAAATACAAATTTGACCATTTTTAGTATAGATGATCTGTGCTCATCAAAAAATTCAGTATAACACGATTAGTAGCATAGTGGAATTTCTCATTATCACATTTGTCACATAGTGACGATCTTGAAATTATATTGTGTACCTTTTAATTTTAAAATGAGTTCATATATGTAAAGTCACATTTTCAATTGACACAAAAATTTTTTAAATAATAATTTTTAAATGAACTTTATAATTCATTATAAAATAAAGAAAGAAGGGCAGTTAATTACCAACACATTGCAATAACGTTAATACTCATGAGGTTTTGTTATATGCAACTTATTTCATTTAGTAATTTTACCTTGTCAGGAGATATCTTATTTACTTTTTTTTTTATTACACCTTTAAAAAAAATCATGCAATTAAACATATAATAAAGAAAGAAGGGCAGTTAATTACCAACACATTGCAATAACATTAATACTCATGAGGTTTTGTTATAAAGGTATTTTCCTTTAAAATTATAAATTATTTTAATAGTTGTATTAATAATTATATAGGAAAAAAATTTTTTTTAATAAATATGATTTTTACCAATCTTTTATTTCATTTTTTAAGTTTAAAAATAATCTATTTACATGTTCTTATCTATATTAATTGAATCATCATCATCATCATCATCATCATCATTTCCATTATCATCATTATCTTCCAGCTCAATTGTAGAAAATTTTTCTAATTGTGATACAAAAGCATCAACATTTTTAAAAATGCCTTTTTTTGTAAAATTCCATACAATGTATACAACTTTTTCCCAGATCTTCATAGCATTCATAATGATAACTATGGCCACAAATCAATATGCACCCATCAGTATATGGAAAGTTTGAATCAAATGCTTTGTCACAATTATCACACAAATCCTTTTTTGGTGGATGTTCTGTATGATAACCAGCAGGTAATGATTTTAAATCTATTCCCTTGAATTCAAAGAAACATGTAATGGGCCCAATATTGGAACAACATTTTCAATCCATCAATAAATTTTTTGAATCTAGTGTAATAGCTTTTCTAAGAAAGAGTTGTCCTGGGTAATCAGCAATTACAGTATAACATTTTTTTTTTAATATATTCTGATAAACTATTTATACTTGTTATCATTTTTAATGCTAACAAATAATCTTCCAATGAGTGAAGGCTCTGTTGTTTTATATTTATTATCTTTAATGACAATTCACAAATTTATTTCTTATTCCAGCTAAAAGGTAACAAAAACCTACAATAGATTTTTTGGCTGATTCTTTATTTAGATATCTTCTTTCTTCAGGGATTATTTTTGTTAGTCCATTAAAAAACCCTTTCAACTTTGGTTCTTTATCTTCAATTAATTTACAAAATTTTATAGGATCTAATTCAATATCTTCATTTGATTTACATTGTTGTTGGAAAGTATATTGGTCAATAATTCAATTTTATCTGCAAAAATTAAGGAGCCTATAATAAAAAAAACAATTAATAAATAATAATCATTTTAATACTTTTTTCCGAGTTGTTCTGAACTGTTAAAAAAATATTATTCATGTTAAATATATTTTCAATTTCTTTATTTTTTTCAACCTTTGCTTCCAAATTTTCAATTTTTTGAACCAGTAAGCTAAAATCTTCTTCAGATAAAAGAATTACATTTTCTGTAATTTTAATTTTTAATGTCACCCAAAGAATATTCACCAGATAATTCACTTTTATTCTTCTTTATATTTATGTTCTACATATTTCATATAATGTGTAAAACAAAGTTGTTGATTTTTTTTAAGTAATTTATATTTAAATAATCTGGATGCTTCATTAACTTATTGAATGCTTTATCAGTTATATTTCTAAAAGTAACATATTCAAGACCTTTTTTATTTTCTTTACAATTTTCAACTGCACAAGGACCAGTATTTTTATTTTTACACATCATTTTTATTAAATAATTGAAGTATAGTTAAATAGCAAATAATATAAGTAATAGTATAATGAATAATAGTGAATAGTAAGTATAATAATAATTAATGGTTTTGATTTTATTTGATCTGCCAGGAAAAGAGTTTTTAATATTAAAGAATAAAAAGAAATTTGATTGATATGTTATATTTTTTATATTTTTTTTTAATTTTACATAAATTTTTAGAGAATTCCTTCTTTTTATACCTTTATCAAAGCTAACATTGTAAAAATAAATTCGAAAAATCCGAAACGTGAAAATTTATTATTATTATTTATTTAGGGATTGGCCGAAACTTTATATAAAAGTTTCCATTTTTGTATATTCAATTTTGACACGTTACACAACCAATTTCCACATGCTGAAATTTTTAACATGAATTTTTTAATAATAGCTCCGACACATAATAACCATATCAGTTTGTAACGAAAGTTCTGGAGATTATGTTTATAATCCAAGATCCTCCGATTCTCTGGTATAATTTTCATTAAAAACAATATTTTACAACCCGCCTTTCTTTCTTAACGCACAGTATATAATACTGTATTTATTAATTAATTGATTGGCAATTAATTTAATATTAATATCTTAGATCACACAAACATAATCTTATTTTCTTATAATCTCTTATATTACGAGAAAATAATAAACAAACAAAATCTCAGGTCACCTAATATAGAAGTAATTCGAAACACAAGATATAATAATATCATCTTACAAATGATAATTATCATCATCTACTGATGTTATTGTTCCCTGCAGGTGTACATGATGACATAATGATGATTATCTTTTCGTTTGTTTGCGCGTTATTTTTTTTATATAAAGATGTAAATATTCATTAGAATTAAAACTTTTTTAACAAATAAATTTAAAAATTAAACTTGATTTCTTTTTCATTTCTTTTTTTTTTGAAAATGTTTAAAAGTTTTATTAGATCTCCAAGTCCGATTCGTGTACCTTTATTACACAGCAATCGTAGAATTTCTTCCAATTCAACAATAACTTCACTAAAAACAATTAAAACAACAAATAACAATAAGATAAACAGTCGTTGCTTGCATCAAAATGTAAAAAATACTAATACTACATATGCAAATCGAATTTACAAAAATACATCATCAAATTCAATCTTTAACACTACACCAATAGCTCTCTCTTCATCAAAAAATTTGAATTCTTCAATTCGTCATCCTTTATCCACCACCACAAAAATTTCATATCATTTTTACAGTACAACCACAATAAATAATAAGCAATTAAATGAAAATAAAAGTGCTGCAAAAGATGTTAGTGAAGAAATTTTCACATCGGTTCCTAAAGTTGATGTTAAAAAAGTACTTGTAGTAGGATCTGGAGGTCTATCAATTGGTCAAGCTGGTGAATTTGATTATTCTGGTAATTATCATTTATTATTATTGCTGTTAATGATTTTGTTGTAGCATGGAATTAATCAAATCTTTTTATAAATATAATATAATAATAATGTATAGGATCACAGGCTATTAAAGCTTTACGTGAATCTAATGTGCATACAGTTCTTGTAAACCCCAATATTGCCACAATTCAAACATCACATGCTTTAGCAGATACTGTCTATTTCTTGCCTGTCACTGTTGAATATTTAACCTATATTATTGAACGTGAAAGACCTGATGGCATATTACTTACTTTTGGTGGCCAGACTGGTCTTAATGTTGGTATTAAGTTGGAACAAATGGGTGTTTTGTCAAGATTGGGCGTGAAAGTTTTGGGTACTCCAATTCGTACTTTGGAAGTTAGTGAAGATAGAGATCTTTTTGCTAAAGCTTTGGCAGGTAATTATCACATATTCTATAATTAACAAATCAACAAATTAACAAATTGATAATATAATAATAATAATAATAATAGCAATAATAATTAATAACAAACTAATAAATTATTTTTAGAAATTGATATTCCTGTTGCACAATCCACTGCAGTAAATACTGTTGATGATGCACTTAAAGCAGCTGAAGAAATTGGATATCCAATAATTGTTAGATCTGCATTCGCACTTGGTGGTCTTGGTTCAGGTTTTGCTAATACACCTGAGGAATTACGCAGTTTGTCCACCAAATCTTTAGCATTGTCAAAACAAATCCTTGTAGAGAAGTCCATGAAGGGTTGGAAAGAAGTTGAATATGAGGTGGTTCGTGATGCTGCTAATAATTGTATTACTGTTTGTAATATGGAAAATTTTGATCCATTGGGCATTCATACTGGTGACTCAATTGTGGTTGCCCCAAGTCAAACTTTAAGTGATCAAGAGTATCATATGCTCCGTACTGCTGCAATCAAAATCATTCGCCACTTGGGTGTTGTTGGTGAATGTAATGTACAGTATGCTTTGAACCCTGAAAGCCTAGAATTCAAAGTTATTGAAGTTAATGCTCGTCTTAGTCGTAGTAGGTTAGTATTAATGGATATTTTGTTTATATATTTATGTTTATATTCTATATTTTATATTTATAAATATTTTTATATGTACAATTATTTAATTTTTAATAGTGCACTTGCATCAAAAGCCACTGGTTACCCACTTGCATTTGTTGCTGCAAAAATTGCCTTGGGTCACACACTTCCTGAACTCCGTAATGCTGTTACTAAAACAACAACTGCCTGTTTTGAACCTTCTTTAGATTATATTGTAACAAAAATTCCAAGATGGGATTTAAGTAAATTTCAACATGTAAGACGTGAAATTGGTAGTTCAATGAAGAGTGTTGGTGAAGTAATGGCTATTGGCAGAACTTTTGAAGAAAGTTTACAAAAGGTATTTATAATTTCTATAAATAATAATAATAATAGTAGTAATAATAATAATATGTGTCTTGTACATGCATCTTTATAGGCTATTCGTCAAGTTGATCCATCTTTCAAAGGGTTCCAATCTATTCCATTTAATGATCTTGACAATTCATTGACAATACCCACAGACCGTCGATTATTTGCTGTTGGTCAAGCAATGATTGAAAAAAATTATACAATTGATCAAATTCATGATCTTACCAAGATTGATAAATGGTTCTTACACAAACTAGGAAATATTGTCAATGTTCAACATGAATTAAAACATGCTGGAAAACTTGAAAATATTTCAAAAGAATTGTTACAAGAAGCTAAAAAGAAAGGATTTTCTGATGCTCAGATTGCCTCATTTTTGGAAGAAAATGTTACTGAAGATCAAGTCAGGAAAGCTAGAAAAGATGTTGGTATTACACCATTTGTTAAAAGAATTGATACTCTTGCTGCAGAATTTCCAGCCCACACAAATTATTTGTACACCACATATAATGCTTCAACTCATGATATAGATTTTAATGATCATGGTTCTATGGTGTTGGGATCTGGTGTATATCGTATTGGATCATCAGTTGAATTTGATTGGTGTGGTGTATCAGCAATTCGTGCACTTCGTGATATGGGCAAAAAGACTGTCATGGTAAATTACAACCCAGAGACTGTTTCAACTGATTTTGATGAATGCGACAGACTTTACTTTGAGGAACTTTCATATGAGAGAGTTATGGATATTTATGAACAAGAAAATGCAAAAGATATAGTTGTATCTGTTGGTGGTCAATTACCACAAAATATTGCTTTAAGGTTACACCAAAACAATGTTAATATAATGGGTACTAGTCCTGTTATGATTGATAAAGCTGAAGATAGATACAAGTTCTCCAAGATTTTAGATCAAATTGGTGTTGATCAACCTGAATGGAAGGAGTTGACTAGTGCTGAAGAAGCTGAAAAATTTGCTGATAAAGTTGGGTGAGTTGAATTAACCAAAAAATCAATTAAAAAAAATTTTTTTTTCAATAATAAATGCTTTTATTTATTTACTAATCACTTTATTTATTTGTGTATTTTTTATAGATACCCAGTTCTTGTTCGTCCATCATATGTACTTTCAGGTGCTGCTATGAATGTTTGTCATAGTCATGAAGCATTACACAAAAACCTTTCTGAGGCTACATCTGTTTCACCATTACATCCAGTAGTTATTACCAAATTTATTTTGGGTGCCTCTGAAATTGATATTGATGCTGTAGCCTACAAAGGTAAACTGTTGGTTCATGCAGTATCTGAGCATGTAGAAAATGCAGGTGTACATTCTGGTGATGCAACCTTAGTTTTACCACCTCATGACATTAGCAAAGAAACAATGGAAAATTTAAAAGTGATTGCACAAAAAGTTGCAAAAGCATTTGAAATTACAGGACCATTTAATATGCAGATCATTAAGAAAGATGAACCTGATGGTGAAGTAGAATTGAAGGTTATTGAATGTAATCTTAGGGCATCTAGATCATTCCCATTTGTTTCTAAAGTTCTTGGTGTTAACTTTATTGATGTTGCAACTCGTGCTTTATGTGATGAAAATGTACCTGAACCAGTTGATCTTATGAAAGAAAAGAGAGATTACCAAGCAGTCAAAGTACCACAATTCTCATGGACTCGTTTACAAGGAGCCGATCCATTCCTTGGTGTGGAAATGGCATCAACAGGAGAAGTGGCATGTTTTGGTAAAGATAAATATGAAGCTTACTGGGCAGCCATCCAATCTACACAAAACTTTAGAGTACCAGAACCTGGATCTGGCATTTTAATTGGTAGAGATGAACTTACAAATGATGAAGATTTCTTTACTGTTGCATATACATTATCAAAGGATTTAAATCATCCATTGTACACAAGTTCAAAACAAGTAACAGACTGGTTAAATAAACGTGCCATACATGCTACAACATTATCTTTACCAGTTGATGATAAAAAAGAATTGCAAAAGGCTTTCAAAGATAATAAAATAGATTTTGTATTTAATTTGGCACAACTTCGAGCTTCAACCATTGGTGATGAAAATTACATTGAAAGAAGGTCAGCTGTAGATTTTGGTATACCATTGGTCAATGATGGCAAATGTGCCAAATTATTTGTAGAAGCTCTCAAGAGAAAAAGAATTGAATTTAGTGGATTAGTTGATGGTAAAATACCAAATGAAGTTAAAAGTTGGTCGGATTTTATTGGAGGAAGACATTGTTAAAATACAATTTTAATTGTTTAACTGTAATTTAAATTAATAATGCATTTTTTAATATAATTTTTTATACATTTAATCATTTTTTTTAATAATTTATTCGTAAAATAAAATTTTAAAATTTGATCAAATAGTACGTTGTACATGAATTTGGAATCTGCGTCAATTTGAAATTCACGCGCGTGAAATTCAAATTAGCCAATCAGAATTTTGTATTCAAACACTCACCCCAAAATTTAATTGGTAAATTTCACGCACAACATATTTAAAGAATCGCGGTTGTATGTAACGCTCGTTTTTCCCTCCTGATACACGCAGTAATATTAGATCAACAACAATTCTCCCCAATTATTATTATTATTATTATTCAGCCGTTCTCTCTATATATTGAGTTTGTTACGGATAGCTATAAATGAAGTTTCCGGCCAGGATTATGTTTTTTGTTTTTGCAAATTCTGCTTTTTTTTTAACCAAAAGAAAAATACAAAATTATACAATTTGTTTGAATCATATTTGGTAGAAATGATGGCGATAAAAAAGAACATTAATATGCTAATTTCATATCGCTTGCATTGTTGGAATGAAAAAATTATATCGTTATATGATATATAGAAATTCAAAACACTCTCAACTATTTGAAATATCAACTTTTTCTAAATATTCAGTTAAAGCTAGTATATATATCATAGCTAAAATGGTATGTTAACCATTTTTCAACTTTTTCTATTAGTAATTTCGTCAACAGTTAGGCTAATTGTTTTATCCTTTATCAAATTTTTTAATTTTCCTACTTCAAATTCATAACTCATTGATAAATATTTTCCCTTAGTTTATTTGAACTTACAATGGAACCTCCCAAGATATAATAAAAATAAATAAGAATTTATATTGAACACTTTAATCACTTGGAATTTTTACAAAAAAGGCTTTAATTTATCAATTTTCTCTAGAGGGGTGTCAACCTTTGTAAATGCAATGTTATTTTTCACAATCATTAGTAACAAAGAAATCAAATATCTCTGTAAAAGTTGTAGAGTATTTTTATATTTTCGTTCAACATCTTTATATTTTGCTACCTCTACGTGATTATCAACAGCAGATTTCTTTTCGTGATCTACAAAAACATTAATTTACCTGATTCAACGTAAAAGTGATTGGTATAATAATGGCTTTTTTTCTTGAGACGTTCTAATGCAGTAACTACAATTCTATCAGGACCCAGAAAACTTCATAGATAGATCAGTAATAAAAATTCCTGCTTGTTATATAAATTTGATCCAGACCAAAATTAATTAATTAAGGTTTGCAATAACATTAGAAAAAAGAACATAATTTGACCATAATATATATAACATTAAAAATTTTGAAACTGTCTACTGTAACGAAATTAAATTTTACCAATCAATTATTTAACTTATCAACTGATTATAATAATTCACTGATTTTTATAATTTATAATATTTAACATAGAAGATTTACTATTACTATATATAAAGTATCGATTTTTTTTGAACGTATTAGTAAGAAAGAAATTGTTGCACGAAATTTTTGGTTCTCTAATAAATCACCGTTGACTACTATATAATAGATTTGGCCCCCCTATTAAACCTAATCAACATTTTCGCAGCAGTAACCTATGAAATTTGCGGGATCCTACCCTTAAACAAAATAATAAATAATAATGTTAATGTTGGGTTGTACGATAGACTATGTAGATCAAAACTAATTAACATCATATATAAAATTTACTAATAAACTTTTTTTCAACAATTATAAAAATAAAAATTGCATCTTCTCATTCAAAAAAAAAGATACAACTATTAAATTAAGAGGTATTATAACAAATGTAATGGTCCACATGATGACAGAGTTTTTTTTTTAATTTTATTAGTAAAATCATCCAAAATGTTAAAAAATACTGTTAAAATTTGAAACATATAGGCTCAATAACCAAACAAGTTAGAGTAAAAAATTTCCAGAATTTTTTCTCTGTAATTCAAAGAATAGTCTGACAGAGAGATTTTTTAAAAATTATTAGTAAAAAAAAGTTTAAAGATGTACGATTTTATTAATAAAATTTTTTTGGTAATCATTTCCTTTTAAAGAAACCATAAAGTATAAGAATCAGGGCTGGCTGCGTAACTCAAATGAGAACTTGGCTAAACTGACTAAACTATTTAGTCATATGTTAAGTCAAGTTTAGTCAAGTTTAGTCAAGTTTATTGTTACTAAATTAGGTTTTTAACCCCTTTACGCTGCCAGCCCTGATAAGAATCGTAAGAAAAAGTCTTTGTGTTTAATAAAATATCGAAGCACAATAAAAGAAAAAGACTAATTCATAATGCATGTGCAGTCAAAAAAATGAAAACTAATTCCTCAGAACATTTATTCCTTGTAGAATCTCCCGTAAGATTAATTAAACGAGAAAACAATGTTATTTTTTTATTAAGCATTTTCTTCAAAAGGAAAAGATTTTCGAAGGAAAAGTTTTATAATAAAATCACATAACTTTGAATTCTTATAAATCCTTAATCTACTAATAATTTTTAAAAAAACTCTCTTCATGCTATTCTTTGAATCACAGAGAAAAAACTATGGAAATTTTTTTACTCTAACTTGTTTGGTTATTGAGCCTATATGCTTCAAAGCTTAACAGTATTTTTAACAATTTAAATGATTTTACTAATAATTTTTAAAAAATCTCTCTGTCAGATTATTCTTTGGATCACAGAGAAAAAAATTATGGAAATTTTTTTACTCTAACTTGTTTGGTTATTGAGCCTATATGTTTCAAATTTTAACAGTATTTTTTAACATTTTGGATGATTTTACTAATAAAATTTAAAAAAACTCTCTGTCATCATGTGGACCATTACATTTGTTATAATACCTCTTAATTTTATAGTCGTATCTTTTTTTTTGAATGAGAAGATGCAATTTTTATTTTTATAATTGTTGAAAAAAAGTTTATTGGTAAATTTTATATATGATGTTAATTAGTTTTGAAAAAACAAAAAATTCCATTACAATAAAAACAATGTTTGAATCCACATTATATTGTTGTTTATATTATTATAAATAGAAAATCTTGTAAAGTTACTGGGAATATACAAACAATGTTATTTAACGAATTATTTAATAAAATAAGTATATATATTAATGGGGTATGAGATGCCCTAATTAAATCAAAATTAGGTAACATAATGCCAATCAATAACAAACTTTTTTTTTGAAAAAATAAGAATATATATAAAAACTATACAAATAAAAATTGTATCAGAACCTTCAAATAAAAAGATACAGACATGAAACTAAGGGAAATTATAGCAAGTAGATTAAGCTATTAGATTGACAGAGAGGTTTTTTTTGCTAAATAAAAAAAATTTTTTTTTATATATATCCTAAAGAAATTGAAAAAAGATTGCTAATAAGAAAGCTTTATAACCAAATGAGATAGGGAAAAATGCTCCCTGTAACTTTATTATAGAAGACTTAAACAATAAAACTATAAAAAGTTTTGTTTAATTTTATTATTAAAAAAAAAGTTATCATGGTTTAAAGTTATTCAATTTATTATTAAATTTTACCATAAAAACTTACATTGCAACTGATAAATTAATAGAAATTTCTTTTTATAGTTCATGTTTTCAAAAAAATATATTGTTAGTTGAATTTTGTTGTCAAAATTTGCAATGTGTTGAAATATATGATAAAGATACTAAAAAAATCCACACAATATATTAAAGATAGTGAGTGACCCAAGTAATTTAATATACTAGTATATTTATTCAACTATCAATATTTTCCTTAACTGCAATTATCATTAACGATTACTAACACTAACTGCTATTCTGAGTTGACCATTTTTCCTCTTGTAATTATTATTCTTATATAAATAATACAAAGCTGCCAGTAATAGTATACTTAATGCTGCTATGGGAACATTGAGGCTGATAATTATCTGAGGATTATTGACAAACATCATTCCTACTATATACAGCATCAGCAGTTATCATTACTGTTTTGGTAGCATAGTGGAAGTTTGTTGTTACACAAAACTTTATACAGAACTCATTGCTTCTGAAACTTCGCCAGCATATAGTTGTTACCTCTCTAAATTGGAGATCAAGTTCAGATCCAATTCAAATACAGTTTATCACTTACTTTTTATTGCTAGAATGTTTGCTGTGTATTGTAAAGCTACGTTGCACAATATAAAAAATTAGTGTAACATTTCAAATTTTCACTATGCTTGTTTTGGTAGATTCTGTCATTGTTTCAATAATTGTTGATGTTGCATTATCAACTACTTTTGCAACCTTGTATGCCCCAATGGAATCAACAGTATTACCACTGTTCCCAAAGATAATACCCAGAAATAAAACAAATTCTTTCATTGATGGGATATTTTTACTGTATTCAGTGGTGTTTTGAACATCAAGAATCTTACAACTGTAGATCCACCTGGGTCAATGCCAATTCTGCCTCTTACCTCTATTAACTCTCCATTAGCAGCAAAATCAAATGGTACCTGATCAGGTCCTCCTATATCTAAGCCCACCGATTACCTTGATGTTCATATGACATTCTGTCTTTTGTCACTATATTATAGACAAATCAAATGGTTTCTAAAAATTGGCTACTTTTAATGTCCGTTACCCTTTAACATTGATTTTTTTATATTAGCAGCACCACAGCATAGCGGACATTTGCATATTTGGTAATGATTTGCGTCAATCACATTTTGATTTTATCACGTAAAAAAGAATTTT